ATTGTTGTGCAACCATCACCATCATTCATCCACAAAATTTTTTCATTTTCTCAAACTGAAACTTGGCTTGTTAAATACCAACTCCCCATTTTCCACTCCTTCAGCCCCTGGCAACCACCATTCTCCTTTCTGTCTCTATAAATCTGCATATTCCAGCTGTCACCCATGTAAGAGTCCACGCCTACAAGTGGAATCATATAATCTTTGTCTCCCTGCGCCTGGCTAATTTCACTTAGTATAGTGTTTTCAACGTTCATCCACGTTGTAATAAAATTTCATCTCTTTTTCTCAACTAAAAAAAAAGATGGTAAAAAAAACATACAATTCATTATCCAAACCATTTTAAAGTATTCGATTCAGTGGTAACTCTATTCACATTGTTGTACAACTTGAATTTCATTCTTTCTTAAGGCTGAATAACATTCCTTTGAGAAATTCCCCTTCAAAAAGGGGCTCCCCAGCCAGGCCGGAGGAGCTCTCAGCCACAGCACAGAGTGACAGGAGCCCTGAACAAGGAGTCGCAAGGCCTCTGCCACCACCAGCTGGTGACCAGTGTCTGCACATGGGAGGGGGCTGATGATGGAGGCAGAGCCCAGCGTTCTGCTTCTAGAAAGTCTGCGGCTGCAGCCCCAGGACCCACATCCATTGGTGTGGGCCCAGGAACAGCGTCTGTGACTCAAACCGCAGATCAGAGAAAACCCTCTACACCCATTAACTCAGAAAAGCCTCACACCAGCCCTATTACCACTATTCCTGTTTCTCAGATAATCACATCATCACCATCACCATCACCGTCACTAAGAACAGCGAGCCCAGCCTGTAAGCCAGGCCTCTTCTAAACAATTGACACATATGGACTCATTTAATCCACATATGGACACAACCAACCCATCTTTGATCTTCCCCATTTTTCAGCTAAGGAAGCAGGTTCAGAGATGCCAAGTCACTCGCCCAAGGATACCCAGGGGAGCCAGAATTCAAATCTGGGTCTATTCTAAATCCTGCACCTAACTACAGTGCCAGCCTGCATCAGCTCTGTGGACACTGGGCTGGGCTAGTGCTGAGTGGGGTTGCTGGAAATGGCTCCCTCTCCCCAGACATTCCATTCAGAGTGCCCCTAGTGACCATCCTGCCCCCATCCTCTGGGGCCCTAGGGGGACCGTTCTGCGGGCCATTCTCCCACCTAACGTACCTTGATACCAGATGGCCTCACATGCCAGCACAGCCTCCTCCCCGACAGTAGCGAGCACCACAGCATTTACGACTGAGATGGATGGCGGCTCTGTGTGGGGAGCAGATGGAGAATTAGGGACCAGCCCACAGACTCCCTGGAGTGAGAATGCAGCTTTCCGCAGCTAGGGGAGGGGCGGTGGGGACAGGATGGTGAGCACCTGCCTCCTCCGCACCCCACACCCCACTTCCAGAACCCGGGACAGTCACCCCTGAATGATGTAACTTTGGCCGTTTTTTCAAAACAACAGTTACTCCTGGGGCCAACCCCCACCCTGTAGTCCCTCATTGAACTTGAGATAAAAGCTGAAATTCTACAAAGTTCTAAAATTCCCCTCCACACCCCACCCCCACCCAGCCAGCCTCCTTGCAGCCCCTTTACACCCACACTCATTCCCACCTGAGGGCCTTTGCTCCGCCTGGTCCCTCTGCCTGGAATGCTGTTCCCATTCATGTCTGTGTCGAGGGTCACATCCTTGTGCAGGCTGGTCCTGTGGGTAACAGCCATTTCCCCCTTGCCCCACCTGCACATCACTCCATCACACTACCCTCCATCTGGACAGGGACCATGTGTTCACTGCCATATCCCCAGTGCCTCCCACACAGTAGATGCTCGATAAGTATTGTGGACCACAGGGACGGAGAGAGGGCTGGAGATGCCTCTCCTGCAGATGCCCTCACCTGCATACATGTAGAGTAGAGGGGGACTGTCTCCACGTCTGTGCCAACCTCATTAGCAGCCTTGCAGCTGAAATTCCCAGCATCCTTTGGGGCCACTCCCTGAATAATCATGGTTCCATGGGCATCCACACAGACTCTGGAGTCATGTCATGAAACGAGCTCAACAGCAAGGGGCCGGTTATATTGGGTCACGTGTGGTTGCTCCAGTCATTTATGTTAATTAACAAATTAATTAACAAGATCACTAGTGACACCGCTCTACACTGGCTGCTTTCTCTGTGCTGGGCTGTGTGGTCAGCATTTTACTTATGTGGTCTTTTTTCATTTGTGGGGCTCAGAGAGGTAAGGTGACTTGCCCAGGGTCACACAGCCTGAATGGCAGAGGCAGGATTCAAGCACAGGTCTGTGGGATTCTGGAGCTGTAGCTCCTAATGCCTGGGCCCATCCTGAGGCATCGTTATGTTGCCAAAGTGATCTCACTTGAGTCTCATGTCATCCAGGAAGAAGGCAGGGCACATGCTACTCCTCCATTCTCAGTTAAGAAGACTGAGGCTCAGAGGGGTCCCTGGGAGTCCTTGACCTTGACCTTGACCTTGTTCTTGACCACTTGTTCCCAGTCCCAGAGCTCCAAGTCCCAGGCCTCTCACCTGCTGTCCTCTTGCAGGACGCGACCCTCATGACTCCAGGAGATGTGGGGTGCCACGTACCCAAAGGCTGAGCAGCTGACCCTCACCTCCATACCCTGGGAGAAGCGCTGGGACCGGTGTGGATGCTGACCTGGGGGACCCCTGTGGTTTAAAGAGAGGACAAGGGGAGAAGAGGCTGTCAGAGGAGTCGTGCTGTACCAGGTACCCAGCCCTGGGCCCTCTTCACCTCCCTGCAGCCACAGACGGCAGAGACAAAGGAAGCTCTGAGGGGCCTGCATCCCTGGGAACAGCTTCCTTGGGACCTGGGGTTGACCAGACAGCTGCTCAGACACATCCCCAGACCCCACAGGGACCCCGATTTGCCAACACCCCCAAGCGGGAGACTTGAGCTCCCTGGATTTCTGCCCTGGCCTGGGCACCTTGAAGAGGCTTAAAGAGCTGTTGAGATGCCAGGGCAGGGGCCCTGAGTAGACCCCAAGGCCTGCCTAATTATGGGCTGCAAACTTAGGTTTATCCTGGCCCTCAGAAATCTTACAGTACAGCAGACTTTCAGGCTCAAACAGGCCTCCCGGGCCAACTCACCTATCTTGTTCCACCACACTCACTCTTGCACTTCGGGAAATAGCACCCGAAAGAGGAGGATCTATCTAATCCTGGGTAGAACTGAGGCTATGTCCAGGCACTAACACTTCAAGACGTGTGCTCCTCCCACTGCCTCCTCTACCCTCATCTGGTCAGTGCTGCCCAGCCCCTGCCAAGCACATCTGATCTCTGGGCTTTTGGAAATTTCTAGTGTTTCTTCTCTGTCCTACATGTTGGGAGGGGTGGACAATGGAGTTGCTCAGTGGCACAGGAAAAGGACAGCCAATGAAATTGGCTTGGCCTACAGCAGTAGGTACTTAGGTTAGATATGAGGGTGAACTTCCCAACTGTGAGAACCACTATATTTAGGCTGGAAGGCTACAGAATGCTTTCTCTGAAGGTTCAGGAAACACTGGAAGGGCTGATGTTGCCTGCCAGAGGTGATGGCTGGGCAGAAGGATGCCTTGATGGACTTGATGGGAAAACACTACGCAGTGTTGAATTGGGAGGGCAGCAACCTCACCTCACACCAGGAGCCAGACAGACACCCTCGTGATCCCGTTGGATTAGCTGGCCATGCACTGGTACTGCCCGGCGTCACTGGGGATGATGTCACTGACCTCCAAGGACAGGTTGGCCAGCTGTGTGACTCTGCCCATTGAGGCTGACAGGACTTGCCAGTCCCGGACCCATGTCAGGTTGTAGGGGGCCTCGCCCAGGACCCGGCAGGACAGGATGGTGGTCTCTCCTGGGCACATGGTCACACTGGGGACAGGGACCAACTGTGGTGGGGGTTCTGCAGGAACAGGAATACAGGAGGCACTAAGGGGCTGACATGGGGAGGGGGACATCCTGCAGGCCCACC